CTTTTTTCCCCGCTTGGCCCTTCCGACCCCCCCCCCCCCCCCCCCCACCTCTTTCCTCCTCTATCCTCAGTCACAAAGATAGTGTCTCACCTGTTGGTGGCAGAGCCAGAGAAGATCTATGCTATGCCTGACCCCACCATGCCGGAGAGCGACATCAAGGCTCTGACCACGCTGTGCGACTTGGCTGACCGTGAGCTTGTGGTCATCATCGGCTGGGCCAAGCACATCCCAGGTATAAAGCAAATGACTTCTGCTTCCTTTTTGTCTTTATTTGACCCTTTCGCTCTTACTTTTCGCCACTTTTATTTTTCTCTGTCTTCCTACGTCTCCTCTCCACTCCGCATGAATAAACACGTGCACTCACACACTTAATGACAGCAGCTCATACAGCCTCAGGGTGTGTGGAGGATGGAGGGGGTGCAAAATGGACAAAGCTGTGCAAGAAACAAATCAATAGAGTGCATCTAAAACCCCTGCATTGAACGGAGAGGGGGACACAGACCCAGTGCCAATGTATGTTGTAATCACCAGGGAGATTTAGGACAAAGTTGGGGACCTGCCCAACCAAACAAGACATCATATCGCACACAGACACACACACATTCACACACAAGCACACATACATTGAATTATTGATGGGCATAATCATGTTTCTTCCTTGCCCCATAGACATTCTGATAGACGAGGTGTTAGGTTATAAGAGGCTGTTGAATTAAGGATACAGCGCCTCACGTCAGCAGAGATTTTGCTTCCTTCAAGAGTTTTCCTCTGATTTTGACAGAGAACACATTGTTTAGCCGCTCTTTTTTTGCAACCGAGGCAGATTCTCCTTGATCTTGAGCTTGACCCCCATAACTCTATAACATTACACTGCTGTAGGCACGGAGGAGTAACAAACGAAATGAATGTGTCCCTCAGCGGCACCTCCATAACCTCTTCTTCTCATCAGCATAACGTGGACAGGCACAGAGCTGTCAGCATGCAGGAAATGTGCGACCACTACAGCACTGACGCACGCACACATGCTGTCGGACTCTCTCATACACATACACAAGTGTGTGCGTGCTTTTTGGATCACATCCGTGAATTCAGAAGATACATTTCAATTTCAATTCATAGATTAAGAAGGTTCATTTATTTTCAGCAAAGTGAAGTGGACTCCAGCTGACCTCGGGCAGGTGCATTTAGTACTGAAAAGGTATTAGAGTACTCAGAAGGAGAGGTATTAATCAGGTACAGATCTGATAGTAAGGAGATTAGAGATGGATATGCTCCCAGCCCATGGCCTCAGCCCCGGCCCCTTAAACTGTTTGGATCACTCCCCACGGGCCTGCATGGTCAGCACACTGAGAGTTTAACAAGGAGCTTAGTCAGGACTGGATCACAACTGACCCGAGAACACACTCTCATGGTTGTGACCCAAAAATCACACCAGCGTCGCAGACATGCACAAAAACGTGAACATTCGTGTGCTGGCTTCTGAGTATAGACTGTGCAAGCTCAGAGACGTCACTTATTAAGACACACACACACACACACAGTATGTACAGATAGAGAGGAGTCTGTCGTCTTTTTTATATCTTACTGTAGAAGAAATACAGAATATTTCACAGGTCATCTGGGGCCACTGAAAAACCTGAAGCTGATAGTATAAGTAAATATATCATAGTCTTAACACACCATTTAATACAACAGTCAGTGTTTAAGGCTTTAACTTGTATCCAGTAGTGCATCATCATGTTAATATGTATACACTCTTAACTCGGATTTTATGCGTCATAGTGTTGAAGCTCTGATAATCAGATTATACTAACGCGTATTGTACAGTGGATAGATTCATAATGTTAATGGGATTTGCTGCGCAGATTGTTACAGAGGACTTGTCGTTCCAAGTGCGTCGATAATGATCATTTAACCCAAAACCTGATGCAGTAAGCCTGACCGTCTGTTCCGACTGTGTTCCAGTACCTGGAACTGGATGTATGCGCTACACAATGTGCAGCACCTGGGAGATGGTACACGTTAAGTAGATTATTCTGATCTGCTTCTGTATGAAAAAACACGCAGCCAAACTTGCGCTTTTGTTTTATATTTTGTCTTTTTTTTTTTTTTTTTTTACTTGTATCATAAAAACACATTCTTTTTAGATGGACAGAAAAAAAGACATCAGCTAAGTGCTCGGTCCGTGCCTGTCCCTTTGGTGGAGTCTGTGTTAGGACAGTGGGTGTCCTCTGGCCATGAAATGGCTGCATAATTGAGTTGTACATGGCTGAACCTGATCAGAGACGGTTCACTGGTTGAGCGAGACTCCATGCACTAACACTCATGCAACAACGGTACCCCAGGGCAGCCTACCATGCTTGGTTACTACCATATTTCTCCCTCCACGCGCTCCGGGACAAGAAAGGAACAGGGGGGGAAAAACTGCTGATTGCATTCTGATAGATTTTTGCAGCCTTAGGCAATGGAATTAAAAAGATTAACAGTTCATTATGAAGTAGACCACATTGATTAGGCCATTGACAGATGGGCCAATGACCAAAGTCCAAATGTAACAATTTAAATGTCGCGAAAATTGGCACTTACCTTCTCCCAATTGATTTTTAATTCCCCCTATTCTCAGCTAACATTTGAAAAACGCGTTTGAAAAGTGGCATAATGTGGAGTGGAGTGGCCCTATCGAGTTTTAATTGGAGGGCGATTGGAGAATATCAAAGCTCTATCATTAGTGTAGATGGTATCTTTGCCTTACAGGGTCCAATGTCAGCTTTTGTCATCCCGGCTATATTTAGCATACCGTGAAAGGTCAGTTTGCATACATGAAGTGCTTTTCAGGTTTAACACGTTTTTGTTCCACGATTTCAGATGAAATGAGAGTTAATGAGTCAATCAGATCAGGTGCACTTGTTATCTTAGTTCGGTGAGGTAGATATTGAAGGCTGGTGTCACATGTCAAGAGCCTTTTCACAGGTTTGCCATTGCCAGCCTTGCCCTCATTCTGAATCTGCCTTTGATTAATTGATAATCACTGCAGAGCTTTTGGACACTAGTGTCACTGCTCCAAATAGCACCACGAAGCAGTCTGATGCGGCTGTTGCCTGAGGGGGGTAGGGTCATTAGGAGCCGTGTTAGGGGGATGCTGACAGATGGCTTGTTGCTCCTAAGGTGCTAACAACCTTTGACACACATAGCAGTCCACTGTCCATCCCTCTGGCCCACTTCCATCCCGTAAAGCATCATTTCACTCTGTCCCAGAGGTTTAGGGATGTATACTGACAGCTTCAGTACACTAGAACCTGTTTATCACCTTGATATTGTTGACTTCTTCAGTGGCGGTGGGATTCCAGTGTGACCCCTGTGGCCTCATGTCACCCCACATTGCTTCCCACCCGCGGTGGGAATGCCATGTGTTCATATGTAAAAACTGCCATGCATGCTGCTTATACAAGAGGTACTCGCTGTTTGGTGTTCGCCCGCTCCCACCTTCCCAGGCCTGAGTGTTTTCAGCGGGGAATTCTCTGAAGGCTAAAGGGCGAAGCAAACATTGACTCTGCTGCTGCTGCTGCTGCTGCTGCTTTGCTCCTGGACAATAAAAATATTTTTGCTCTGGCATCTCCACCACTAGAATGTAAAATATTCAAACAGCATGTTTATGCCTTCAATTCATTTCGCTTTTTCTTTTTTTTTGAAGCTACTCTTAAAAAAAAATAAACCTCCTCCTCATGTTATTGCATTTTGGGGTATTAGATTCAGACCAGATTAATCTAATGAAATAGTCTTGTTGGTATTGTTCTATTCATTACTGGTGTTTTGGGAATATTCATCATCTGTGCTTTATTGGATTCCAGCTCATCAGCTCTGCATTTGACAGACAACCGCCTGGCGGGTTAGTTGTTAGCGTGGAGGCAGCGATGTTAAAAAGAGATCGCGCCTCTTGTATGTTGTCGTGTTTGTGTCAGCTCAACCCTCCACCATAATCACCCACCCACCCATCAGCCCACCCTCCTCCAGCCCCCTCCGGGCTCCTGTTTTCTCTTTGCCATTAAATTGTGAAATCTACTTACTGTGTTGCCAGGCTGATCCCACTCAAGCTGCGTAATCTCCTTGTAATAGAGTGTGAATACTGCCCGGCAATAAATCAGCACCTCATCAGTGCACTTTATTAAATATAGACACCAACAGACAGCTCTTAGTATATTCAATTTACCCTCTGACGTAGGCTTCAACACAGGAGATAAAGATAGATTGAGCAATCAGGTGGATGCCGAGGCCTGAACCCAGGCATGAGAGCGGGAGGAAGGTGGGAAAGCTGCAGGGAGATTGAGATGGGGGCGTATTGGAGGCAGACAGGCAGTCAGGAGTGTGCAGGGCCAGGAAAGGGACATCTGCCAGGCAGGGTGGGGGAGGGCTTTGTTTAGTTACTGTGACACATGAGCAGGTACATGCAGCATCCCAATGTGTGCACTGTTCATTTTGTCACAGAGTTGAATCAGTGCAAAATCTGAAACTGTAGCATCTGTGTAAAGTTTTGTGTCATATTATATATATATATATATACATATATGAAATGCTTTGTAGGAAATCTTATATATGCTGATGTGCCTTTAAGTGATCGTCAGCAGAGCGCCATCCCTCATTAAGCAATGTTGCTTGATGGCAGTGGAGATAAATTATGTGTAATTATGGCAATGATTAAAGACTGATTCGTCCTGGTCTTTGGGGCTTAACAGAGATATGTAACGTCAGTATTGGGCAGTGGGACCCTTGGGAGGGCTAAACACTTCTCCTTTAGGGTCAGGGGGTCACAGGGTGCAGATTAAAACAAGAGGATTACTGTATTTAACGTTCTTCAACCTCACAACGTTCACAGGCTACTGGTCAAATCACCCATTCCCCAGCTACTCACAAAGGGATAATGGGCTGGTTATCACGTTGACAGAAGGCAGATAGCGCTCTCTTGAAAAGTGAAAAGGGCTAAAAAGAAGAAAATAAAAGATGAATTTCAGACGTCAACCTCTTTTTCACCGACTCAATTTAGTTTGTACCGACATGATTTTGTTCAATAAAAAAAAAAAAAAAAACAGCCTTGGTGTCATCGAATCAGTGTCCAGGGAAAGCTGGCAGCAAACTGAGCTGTTTGTGTTGTACATGTGGCTGGACTGCAGGTCAAGTTATTTATGTCAAGCGCAGCAATTTATTACCAAGCTGCTATTGATTGGGTCCTCCTGACGCCGTCATGTAAATTCAAGGAGAATCATGGTCGCTAGCTGCAGACACACACACACACACACACACCAGTACGAAGCAGCTGAAAATTGCCCTTCATTCTTGTATTGGTTATACATCCAACACCGTAGTGTGTCACTCTGCCAGATCAGAGGAATCTATACAAAATCAGAGGTGCATACATTTTCCCCTTGTCTCTCTTTCTTTCTTCATTCTGAAATAAAATAAAATAAAAAAGGTTTGATATTGAATAAGCTTATGGCAGCATGATCATTCAGCTCAGTTTGAGGTTTAAAAAAAAAAAAAAGATGTGTTGAACCTCTGGGGTCCTGTTAGGGGCAGTTTTACTCCAACTGGAGCCCGGAGAGCACTTGACTTGGCTGAGGTGAGATTGCCGCTGGGCAGAAGTCTTCAGGGCCTGCTTGTCCTTCTGATAGCTAGCCATGATAGATCAGCTGCTGTCCAGCCAGAATTACTCTCCTTCCTCTTTCTATCTCTCTCTTCCTCTTCCCCTCGTCCTCCGGTCCCCTTTTTCGCTGCTGTCTTTCTCTCTTCCTTATCTCCTTCCTCTCTGGCTCATATCTTCTCCTCTCTTTTATCCTTCATTTCTCTCTCTCTCTCTCTCGCCATTTCTTCCCCCTTCCCTCTCCATCCCTCTGTCTGCGATGTTGTCTGATTGAGGGTGAGTTACGAGGGGGCTGCAGCTGGAGGGGGCCACCGTGCCTCGTAATTACATCTCTTTTTATTACCCGCGCTAATGGCCCTCGGGGAGAGGGAAACAATAATAAATTAATAGAATATGAACTCCAGCTCAACAGAAATCTACAGCATTTCATTTTGGACCGTCCTGTGCTCTGGCAGATGAAACGGTGCTCTGATTAATCTCTGCGAGGGGTTTGAAGCAGCCGTCTGTGGGTTTGGGCTGCCCCCTCCTGCCCACAGCCAAGTGCTTTTGGGGAGATAAAGGGAGAGGTGACGGTTCTGGCTTCTGTTGTTGGTCTTTAGTGGCCTTGTTTTCACCTTTTGAGCTATGAATGATGGTGTCCTGATGCAGTTAGGCTCTGTTTTGTTGCGTCTCTGTCAGCTCAATATGTTTTTTATTCCTTTTTGTATATTGAACTGAATTTCAGACATGCCCATACAAGATAAATGTCACCTCTGATCAAGTGAAAATCCCTTTGAGGCCATATGATCTCCATATGAGCAGGGTGCTTAAGTCAAAGTGTAGAAAGAAAAGCGCTGCATTGTTATTATCTCTGTATACATGCCACAAAGACAGAAGTCTGCAGGTGCACTCAGCAGTGGAGTGGAAAAGGCCCTTCAAGTGCGCAGACAGGCCTCTCTGATTTGGTCAATATTGTGTCATGTTTGGTCAAACCCCCGCCAAGGCAGTGGGCTGGAAATGAAGATGTAAATATTGATATTTCATTAGAGGAAATCACCCACTCTGACGGCACTTAACCGGGCCACCTTCAGAGTGCGGCGGCCGGAGCGCCGCGTGACCCGCGGAGTCGGGAAGTCACTTCATTACTCGATTAAATTGAGTGGAAAAAGGCGAGGCAACGACACGACATCCCATTTGGAGCGATAATTTAGGCCTGAAGAGAGGGGATGGAGCAGAGGAAAAACACCACCTCTCCATCTCACAACACTGGATTAAATTCAAGGACTTTTAGCGTCAAAGGTAATTGTAGGCTGCTGGGCTGCATGTGTGCATATGGTTGAGAGGTGTCTGCTGTATCAGAACTTTAAAGCCTCTCCAGCAAACCCTGAACAAGGCCTTCACACGGGCTGTCACATTGGGAGCAGCGCTTTAGTTCCGCCTCAGTCCTCCTCGGCATTAAAAGGCTAGACAAAGCCTTGCCTGTGATTGTGATGCCAACCTGATGCGGCAATCAAGACCGCGTCCACGCTCGCATGACAATTTCCCTCCGGCCAGTCCGCAGTCTGTACAAGTTAATGGCCACGTATGCAGACAAGGAAATAACACAACAAAAGATTTTAAGATGCAGTCTGGATATGTGTACAGGCCTTTACAAAATATGGCTTATTGCCTCCACTGATAATAGCAAAGTGCTTTGAGTGCTTTCAGCAGTTTGCTTTGTTGGGTCTAATTTGGGCTCTTCAGACCTCTGACCGGTCCAGTCGGACACCAGCGCCATTCTGTTAGCACTCTATTCTACCGACTATTGATTCCCCTTCAAAATGTGAAGGCCCTCACATTTTGATCACAATCTGTTAATTAATGTATCCTCCAGCTCTGCCCCTGCAGTGGTCATCACCACGATAAGGGAAATTGAACACTCAGGTACTACTCTCCCTGGCTCTTCTTTTCTCTCTGCCCGTCTCTCTCTCTCTCGCTCTCTCTCTCCATCCTGTTTCTTCTTTACTTTCTCTCACGCTTCCTCATCATGTCTCTTGTTCTTCTCGGCTTGCACGTGTGTGTGTGTGTGTGTGTGTGTGTGTGTGTGTGTGTTCACAGTGTCCTGGCAGGAGGAGATAAACATCAGACTGGTGGCTGCAACCCAGCGAGATCATTTATATTTAAGAGAAAATGTGGGGAATAGGTGCGGTGAGCGCCCTGGTCAATACTGTAATCTATCGCCTCTTAATCACGCAGTGGCAGCTATAGCGTGGCAACAGCGAACTTGTAAAAGCAATCGTATTAATCGTGGGTGGAGCTGAAGAGCCCAATATGCCGCCTGCAGGCACACTGTGCAGACGGAGGGGAGGTGGGAGATGGAGGAGAAAGCGTGTGGGGGGGGGGGTTTATGCAGTTTATTGACAGTTGAAGGGTAGTACGAAGGGGAAATGACAGTGGTTTGATGCGCCCGAGCCAATTTCAGCTGCTGTTGGAGAATGAGGCCCTGGGTTTAAGCAGGTCTTCAGGCTGAGCTTGAATCAGGCTCTCTCTCTCTCTCTCTCTCTCTCTCTCTCTCTCTCTCTCTTCCCCCCCCCCCACATGTTGACGTATTTGTGTGTACGTATGTCCCCTCATCACCTCCTCCCGCGACATGTCATGTCCTCAACCCCTCCAATGAGAATATGTCTCGGTGCTAATCCCCCCGCACACCAATAGAGGTGTGACAGGATACAAGTGGTAACCACATGGCTTTGTGTATCCCAGACCTTTGCACCGATTTACTGTCCTCACTTACAGTAAAGCCCACTCAAGTGCTCCGACACCGGCTTCAAAGAGGACCTTCCACTGCGCATTTAAAATTAAACACCACTCGCTAACATGTGCCTCGGCATGTACTCCGGGCTGCAGGGGCTTGACAAGTCGGGTTTGGTTTATAGATCAAGTCAAAGTGCCATCTGTTCTTTCAATTTAAAATACTTTTTAAAGCCATCTAATGAAAGAAGACTTCTGGCTGAATCCTGGACGAGGCACAAATGTGCATGTTTAAACTGAAATACGGTCCTCATATGGTTTCCCCCTCTTTCCCTCCAGGCTTTTCCTCCCTCTCTCTGGGAGATCAGATGAGTTTACTGCAGAGCGCCTGGATGGAGATCCTCATCCTCAGCATTGTGTTCCGCTCGCTGCCATACGAGGACGAGCTGGTGTACGCCGAGGACTACATAATGGACGAGGAGCACTCGCGGCTGACGGGCCTGCTCGACCTCTACGTCTCCATCCTGCAGCTGGTCCGCAAATATAAGAAGCTCAAAGTGGAGAAGGAAGAGTTTGTCACCCTCAAGGCCATCGCTCTCGCTAACTCAGGTGAGGCGTCTTCAGCACACTGTCGCATCATAAATAACATTCACGTGTCGTGATTCATCAGTGAGGCAAGTTTTATGTGCATTTGAATGAAAGCAAGTTTTAAATGAACATCAGAAAATTACAATAACCTAAAAATTATTTATTTAATTTACATATACATATATATATACACATACATACATTATATATCTATATCTAGATAGATAGATAGATAGATAGATATGTAAATGTAACACTATTTTTTACAATTTAGAGTTACTTTCAGAGAACAAACCTTTCCTAAAGGAGGCTTTTATTTGCTTAATATTACTCCTATTGTTTCATTTCACAATGTAATTTGTTTTTGTTTTAAAAACATCTTAACTTTCCCACTCCGTTGTTCCGTTGTAAAGCATTATTGAAGTAGGTGAAATTAAAAAAAAATAGTTTTGCCTAAAACAAATTTCATAAATTTCTCTTTTGAATAATGTTAAGTGAATCCTTCAGCATTCATATCTGCTGAAATAACGAATTAATATGCACACAATATATATCAAGAATACATTGAAGTTGTACCATTATTTAAAGAAAGAAATCAAGACTCGAACATAAAATTATTTAAGTGTATTACTCACTCGGATTATTTCACTTTTCCCTGACTGGACCTGAGTAATAGACACAGACAGTGTAATATCCAGAACAGTGAGCTATTGTCTGACACAGTTTCAGAAGTGACATTTCTTAGTTTTTCAGGAGTTTTTCAGCGTAACCTTTAGTTTGGAGCGTGAGATGGAGAGATGGAGAAAAAGATAAGGGCAGTGTAGGGGGAGAGAGGGATGGAGCAGTGAGCTTTTTTTTAAATTGAACACCTTCCATGTTGTGGTATTCCTCAAGCACTCCCTCTCCTTCTCCATCTCCATAACAGTAGCTGCAGGGCACAGCAGCCACGGGAGATAAATTTAGCATTTCATTAGGAGCACAGGGGCTGTCAATAAAATGTGTTAAGTCGAATGGAATGAGTATCAGGGAGTCATGGGCGTCGTTTGTTTCAATGCGAAGACGGCACGCCTCTATTGACCGGCTCCTTTTGAGGAGGCAGGACCTGTCCCGCTCTGATCAATGCACGCCCGGGTCACTGGGCCGCTTTCGCTTGTTTTGTCCGGAGCTGAAAAATGAAAATGCTGATGGTGGGCCTTTGCTTTCCGACAGCAGAGCCTTTGGTAGGGAGGTGGGGTGTGGGAGAGTGGAGAGATGGGGGTCGAGGAGAGAAGAGGAGGGGAGGAGGGTGTCCGGAATGTTAGAACAAGGTCTCTGGGAGATCGTTCTCCCGGGAGCCCCCCCTGGTCCCAACAGCTGTGAAAATTCATAGCGATTGATTTTGTAATTAGCAGTTTATCAATCGGATCGACGTGGGCTCACTGATGGATTGCGAGGAAATTGTTTCCTCAAAGTTGTTTTTTTAAGTCTACCCCTCCTCCAAGGACCAGACGCTGCATGTTCGCTGTCTCCTGCCCTCTTTTCCTGCCCATCTGTAGAGATGTCTCCATCTCCTCTTTTTATTTTCTCCTTTTTTTTTTCCTCTCCCCGCAAAGCATTCAATTACAATAGGTTCAAATCAGGTTTGTTGCAAAAACGTGTTTGAAGCATGAAAACAAGGAGAAATGATGAGTTTGATTTGAAAAAAATGTGCTTGTTAGGTTGTGAATCCAGCCTCTGTGAAAAGAACAAGAGATAATTATGTCACACCACATCCTCATCTGAGATTTTTTTTCTTCTTTTTTTTGCCTTTTGTTCTTCCATCCTCCCCCCTCTCACCTCCCTCCCTCCCACATTCACTTTACAAAACGACCTACTTCATTTTACCACTGTGGATTTGAAAACCGTCAGGGTGAGAAATGTCTCAAGGTCTTGGGAATACAGTTGTTCCAGTCAATGAATTTGGGGCGAAGTCTGAAATCTGTTTTGCCTTTTTATTGTCCCGTGTGGTAAAATATGCACCGCCAAGGTGAGACGAGTCAGGCAGCCAATGACATGCCGCCACCGGAGTGCCAGACACCGGTTAGCCGGTGAGCGACAGCGCGACCCCAGACCGTCCCTGAGAGAGGCTCGGAGGTAGTAAGAGAGGCAGAAACAAAGGCGAGAACGAGAGGGGAGTGCTGTAACATGATGTACAATAGAATCAGGAAGAAACCGTGGCAGCGTAGCGAAACACTATAGGAGCGAAGAACACCGGAGAGAAGCCAGACTGAAACTGTAGACCGCTCTAAAACTGGCCAAAAGCTGGGAGAGATCTTGGCTGACTGAAGCTGAGAGAGTCACCGTTTTGGTTCAATACAATATAGAAAGATAAACCTTTTTTTTAAATATATATATATATATAGATAAATAACACAGAACATTTACAGCCAGTTTTAACCGCTATATTTTCAATGATCATCTAGCTGTAAAATAAACCCATTAGTATTTGTTTTTCCTCCACTCTGATGGACAGAAACTCCTTGGAGGGAGAAGGAAGACAATTAATTGAAAGGAAGTGTTGTATTCATCTCAGGCTTGTTTATGGCGTCCAATTCTCTAATGGAGCCCCTTTCTTTTCCTTGTTTTTTTTGTCCGTTAACAATCTGTCCTTTGGAACAGTCAGGTGTTTAATGTGTACTCGCTCAGAAGAGATTGGGTGCTATTCATGCTATTGTTACTAGAGGATAACATTGATTTTCAGTCTCGCTGGTCAAGGGCCGTATGAATATCCCGCCCGGTCCTTCCAAAGACGAAATAAATAATTCAATTAAATAAAGCAGATGTTGGTTTTTTTCTTTTTTTATGATCCATTCTTTATCTTGTCGGGGTGTGAGTTATACTGATAATGTGTTTGCTACCTTACTGCTACTGACAAAGCAGTACAGATCAATCATGAGATTAAATTTAGTTTTAGAAAATCCCATCACTCCTGTTATATTACTACTGTCTCAGAGTGCAGACTACATTTCTTAAAAGTTACTTTTTTTTTTCCTTTTTGACAAAAATTGAAAAGCCCATCAATCTAAAAACTCCTATCTCTGCTCTCGTCCCATCAGACTCCATGCACATAGAGGACATGGAGGCGGTCCAGAAGCTTCAGGACGCTCTGCACGAGGCCCTGCAGGACTACGAGAGCAGCCAGCACCAGGAGGACCCGCGGCGGGCGGGCAAGCTGCTCATGACCCTGCCTCTGCTGCGGCAGACGGCCACCAAGGCTGTGCAGCACTTTTACAGCATCAAGGTGCAGGGAAAGGTGCCCATGCACAAACTCTTCCTGGAGATGCTGGAGGCCAAGGTCTGATCGGAGGGTGGCTGATTGGCCACGGCAACGGCGGAGGGCTGCATTAGCGATACAGAAAGTGACTTGAACCGAGGCTGAGGGCCCTCAGGAGGAGACCCCCCACTGACTGTGCTAGGCAGGAGAGAGACTGACCTCTCTCGCTCCTTCTCCTGGAACCCTGGGACACTAAATAAAAAAAGAACAAATTCAAAACTTGGTTATTAGTATAAATATAAAATGCAGATTAATTTAAAATATATAAGAAATACTATGTACAGTAATAATTTTGTTTTTTGTTAATTGTCAGTGGTCATGCTGTATATGAAGAAGGACCCTTCTGCGCCTCAGCATCTTCAGAATAAGTAGTTGCCAGTTCTTGATAACAAGATAAAGAGGTTTCTTCTTCTCGACGAACGAAAAAGTTCCTTAAATTAGTTCTGAAGACAGCAGAGGTGTCAACAACCATGAACTGACTCACAGTCTCACAGTTGTTGTTTTTTCCTGAACTTGACCAGGACATGTATATATTTATTAATGGAAGACTGAGTGTACAGTTCAAAGTCTGGTGAACTTGGTGGCCATTTTCTCTTGTTCTCCTCCTGGTAAAAAAAAAAAAAAAAAATGAACTAAAATTGTTACCTAAATGTGAACTCTTTATCAGTTTAAATGTCCTTGGATATACCTCTCCGGAGCAGTAAGCCGTGTGCTCTTTGTGGATCTGTCTCAGAGTGGAAGACCTGCTGGTCCCATGTTTAACCAAACTAGCATAGGCAGGTACAATTAGTCAGTCGTCTTATTCTGTAGTAACTCAGCAATAAAGGGAGCTGTGGGGAAGCCAGGCTTAAAACTCCAATCTTTCATGTGCTTTTCAATGCTGCTGTTGCTAGAGGACCATGCCTGTGTATCTCAGTCCCACCAGCGGGACACACCGCTGCACCGCTGTCGCACACTAGTGTTCCTCCTCTCCTTGTAGTGGTGTTTGTCGGTGCTGTTCATGTAACCCATTGAACCCCAAATTTGGTCATTGTTTAAGCCCGTGGAAATTGCCACTTGGCATGCAAATAGATGACCCGATTCAGGCTAGGTGAAAGATGATCAGCGTGTTTGGTGTGGCGGTATCAAAGGATTTATGCCGAGTGGCAGAAGTCCAGGCAATTCCTTGTTCAAACAATCAGAGGCCCATATGTCAGCCACTCCATTTTGGGCCCCTTTAAGCCCGTGGCAGAGTCATCCCACACACAGGGAGCAAGGTGCCCAGCATCTGCTCTTACCATTTTAGACACCTCTCGTCTTTAAATAGCGGTGCCTGCATTTATAGAGCTTCAACCAAACAGAGGTCAACGGCAGGTGCAGAGAGGGAGTGGTGGCACTTCACACACTGGGTTTATTTTCAACCCAGCAGGAGGTTGTTGTCTGCACGGCCTCCCTCCAGGAGTACGGTAGACACGTGGAACACTTCTTCTTGACCTCATGTTGACACAGTGGCCGGTGCAGAGTAACACCCTTCCCACCGGCCAGGAGGCAGGCAGGCATCTGCGAGGAGATCTCCGGCTGCCCGGGCATAAACATGTGAATAGCTATGCAAGAAACAAAAGTGTCAGCACGCTCCTGAGGGTAACAGCAACCCAACAGTGTGTCAGTACAAGGTGTGATCTGTGCTTGGAGAGAGAGAGATCTCGTGCTCCCTTCTCCCCGTGTTTAGCTCCATGTCCATTACGCTGGGTGTGAGTAATACTGCAGTCCAGTCCAGCAGAGCCGTGCCGCTTGTCTCCAATGCGAGACAGAATGTGTTGGAGGCGAACGCTTATACTACTGAAGGACTTTATGTGATGTGATAAATTGTGGTGCTGTCACAATAATATGATACCGTGATCAAAGGACACCCTGATATTGCAGTCGGGTAGAGTTGCCGCCATGCTTGCGATATCAGTGGCTAGCACTGATCCAGCGGCCGGCATGCCTTTTATACAGCAGCCTGATTGGCCACGTATACGTAATGGAGGACGACTAGACCACTCCAGCACCCAATCACCCCAACTTGAACTCGCCGCTGCCCAGTTAACAAGCTCCACTGTAGAGGGTGACAATGTAACATGAGTTATTTTGCTGTTGTGCAATGCAACAGGGACCAATTCTGACTGGAACCATGCTGAAAGCATGCTTTTACTTAGATTTGGGAGAATTTGTATGCTTTTAAGTGACATATTCTAAATCCCTCTGATAAATGACTTTTTTTGCTTATTCCAATAAAGGTGCAGTAAAAAATAAGAAAATTTTTGCAGGAAATCGTTACAACTAGAATTTTGTAGTGGCCCTAAGATGATCAGCCATAATAATCTTAATAATGAATCCTCTCATCTCCTTTTTTTCCTTTTTACCTTGCAATATGCACTGTGTTAAGTAAAAGAGAACATGTCTTACATTGCAAGCTGAGTCGAAGTGTGTAAATATATCAGTGTCAATTCAGTAGGTTGCCGAAATACCATTGAAAATGAAGTATGCAGCGCCCTGCTGACTACTACCTCATTATCATATTGTCAATATTTCTCTGATCCGACACGTTCTGCTCTTTATCATCCTCACACATCTGTGACACACCTGAGCCATCCATGTTTCTATCTTAAAACCGTTCCTCTCCCTCAGCGCTCCTGCCAAAATATTTGTAATTGTAGTTACTGATCTTCTCTTTCCACTCATTCTTCATGATCTGTTTGTAAAGGTTAAAGCATGCTTCATGTTGACCACATGACTTGGCCATCAGTGGGTGCGACCCCCATTTTGGTTACTAAGCGGGTATGTGTTTTTATGAACATCAATGTGTCAGAATTGGTCCCTTGATGATAAATTGCTGACAGGGGCAGGTAACTGATTTCCTGCTTCTGTGCTATGACTATTTATGGTGTGAAATATATCATTTGGCAATGGTGTACATTGATATCTCTGATCGTTGAATCACCAATATCTGTGTAACTTTTACTGTTTTGATTTTCAAAAAGGTAAAGGATCAATGAATTAAATACTACCTGAACTCTGTGATTCTTTTGTGTTTGAAAATAGGCACTAGCGGCTCTGTGAGGCTACTAATGTCAGCATGCTAACACTTTGACAATGCTAACATTCTGACGATTAACAGGTATAATATTTGACGTGATAAAAAGGTGTTTAAGCAGAAGTTAAGGATGCATCAAAGTTATTACAATCCATTCTTAAGGGGAACATGAATGTTTGTAGCCAACCAAATTTCCTGACAATCCATCAAATAGCTTTTGGACGTGTCACTAAAAAACTACAAATGTCAATCTCATTCCCTGACTTTTACCGCAGTAGAGAAAAAGTCAGGGAATCACCAAAACTATTTAGATACATTATCTGAGCACCAATGTCCAAATTTCCTGCCAATCCATACAATAAACTCGCTATCTCTACTTTAAGCAGCCAGAATCAGGGATTATAGATCGAACATTCCAAGACATTGCCACCAGTTAGCAGTCTGTCATTGGTTGTTTGAAAGCTCGTGTTTCACCGAGTGTGCTCTCCGTACACACACACACACACACACACACACATAGCGGAGCGGAGCAGAGATGGGTGAAGTGAAGATAACGTTGTCGGTAGCGGCTACAAACGGGCTCGGTAGTGAACGACGCGCTAATATGCTGACGGATTTGCTGTACAGAGAATCTAGAACAGAGAATCTTCGGTTAAAACATATCCTCATTGTTCTCCATGAAGTTTGTTGGAGAAATAGCTTTTGAAAATCATACATTTCTTGTCAGCAACCAGTCATATGGTTGACAAGCAATGTAGCATAACTTAGGACGCGATTTGGCCTCGTGTGCTCCGATTCATTTGGCATGCAGTTAACACACAAGTCTTAACTTAGTTTGGATGAAACCTCAACGTGCATATGCTCACCACTTTTTTGGAAGAAGGCAATAATGGGAGTAAGAGGTAAACCAGCTTTAAAAGTATTTTCTTTTTAATTAACTTGCAAAATAGTCTTAAAAATCGACATGAAAAAGAAACGTGATTAGATAAAAATCATATGACATTGTTTTTGCTATATCAACCACCACTAATGGACCAACCATCTGTTACCCATTCCACTATGGCCACACACACACACACACACACACACATTGACTGGGTGTTCAGAAGTGGGACAGAACAAAGAGCAGATCGGAGCTCACAGCAGACCACAGATGGGTGGCAGTAAACGAGGCAAGCCAGTCGAAGATTCACGCAGGCCACCCAACTATCCAGCCATCAACCGCAGCCACTGCAGGGCCAGGAGCTGTTGAAAATGGATCCGTCACAGGAAACAGGCAGACAGACACGCTGATGGAGGTGGGGGGGAAGTGAGGGGCTGTAGCTCCATTATTTCAGGAAGCTGATATTCCAGGGAGTGAAAGTATTCCCATCTCTATATAATTATAAAAGCCAATTTCCCTTTTTGAAATAATGTCTTGCTAACCAATTAATTGTAATAATCCTCTTTGTGGAAACAATGGCATCACAAGACGAGATGACTTGAGGATGAAAGGGAAGAAAAAGGAGATCCGGAGGCCCACACAAATAAAATGTGGAGCACGGTCGCCAGGTGCTGTATTTTTAAAAGCAATGTGCTTCTCGTTTCGCATGCAAATCATCCGGTTGGACCAGATATTGCCATCAATAAGTTTCCCACAGATACAGTAGCAAGGCAATCATTTACCTCCATTGACAGGTCAAAACACCTTTCATTAGAGTTACGAGGCATCTCATCAAGATGCGGCCCCGCTCGCAGCTGTACGACTGCTGTGTATTGCTTAAGTGTGTTTCATTATTCCCAAAGCAACGTTGATGATGGTGAGGGAAAGGATTACACGTCAGGGTGAGTGATTGGGTTTGAACAGAGCTGCTGCATACACTTTGTATCAACCCAGGGCTCAAATTACACTTAGGTTGAAAACGGAGCACGCAAATGCCCAGGAGAGCTTGTGGCACAGAAATGAAGAGTGGGCCACCATCTCTTTTTCTCTCCCTCTCTCTCTGTGTGTGTGTTTCCCTCAAACACACACACACACACACACACACACACACACACACTAACACACTTTTCATCTCTTCTCTTTGTCAAATTTTCTTTCGACCCCTCCTCTCTCTCCCTTCCCCTCGCCGCGCACGCCTCCCTGTTTTAGAGGCTCAACCATCCTTTATGGGCATTCTTATTGTTCCACTGATTCCGTTATGTGTATTTATTGCTCCATTTGTGAAATTGGAGGCACCGGCCGACAAGCCTATTACTATTCAATAACAGGAGCTGGGCATTTTCACAACCGTGGGCTATCAATGTCCCAGACAGAAACGTTACGTCACATCAATTCCTAACAACAGACGGATTGCTATATTGTTGTTGTGTATTATATTGGAGGCAAAATTCCACCCATCTCCACAGAGGGAACCGCGAGTGCCAGCAGTCAACAACCCGTCTGATCTTCAACAAAAGGACAATGTAACTGGCTCAAGAGTAGATCTATTTCCTAATAGATCCCGGTTACTGCTGTCCTGTACCTGTCCCACTATATCGGAGCCATGCATCCTCACACCTCTGACCCAGCCCAAGACTCTCTTTGGCTGATCAATAGCCTTGTCAAAGTGCCTAGCAGGCACAGGGCTTGGGCCATCTGAGATTTCACGCTCTCATTGTCCGTCTTCACCGTTTTAAGTGCATTTATCAGGTTACACGCCTGCTCTTCTCACCACTTAATGCATGGCTAAGCTGCTCTCCTAAAAAAAAAAAACCTAGTGGCCATCAGCGAATTTGTGTCCCAGTTTTGTCACATTACTCTGGTTACATTTTTCATCAGACCATGTAACCATGCAGTGAAAGGCAAGACTTTCAACATAAGTGAAGTTCAAATGCATTTTCTTATCTAACATCAATCTTCTGCAGGTGTCAAACAAAAATCTGGAACAAAAGATGAAAAAAATCAATACGTTTCTGCGCCAAACCGTGGTTCTGGTCCTTCAGAAAGAGCTGCATGAAAAAGCTTCTCTGTTTCAGACGATAAGAAATTAAGCAAACCCACAAAGATCTCCTGAGAACAAGTCCCAAAGGACACAGAGAGAAGTACCGCCACACAGCATGCCCGTTAGCAGGAGACCACACTGACCCTCCAGCGCAGCAGAGAAAAACACCGCTTTTAGCTAAAATCAGTTGTTCCCCAACACTTTGAACATTGTAGGAACACAAGCGCTGTAAGAGAGAGCGGGCAGGTAATAAAACTGTACACACACACACACACACACAATAACTGCATGTGAAGGGTTTCCTCCCATCATTTCAGATTTATTTGCCCAACTGTATCTTTATCTGTGCTGCTCACTGATATGAAGCTGTGGGGGGAGCAGAAATATTTCCAACTATCTACTGAATATATCTCCCTCCACCCAAGGAAAACACTGTTGTGAGATGTGTGTGTGCGTGTGTGTGTGCGTGTGGAGGGGGCTCTTCTACTGTTTTATTGCCTCTGCCATGTCTTCACACGTTCTTATGGGCTTTTCCAATTTAACCACTGGTTTGGAAATAATGAAGGGAGATAAGGAACATTGATAAGCATGGATACGTCCATCAAATGGAGAAAAACTCACACAGGCTGCTGTGTGTGCTCACTTCACAGGCGTTTAACACAATTACCCCGTTATTACTGAGGGTCGGGCCTGCGTCTTGAATCATATTAAGACATTTGCTTCATCTGAGTGTACAGGTGTGATTGTTCATCATTTTCTGCATGTTTGGAATATTTAAAAGTGAAAGACATTAGAATTGCATATATTTATTGATTTGTCATTTCAGGCAACTATTTCACTATTATATTTATATATGTTGGTTATATTGTCCTCAATAATCCTACATTTATCAAGCTGCAAAATATCCTGACCAAGAAATTGGTGGGCTGTGATTTAACCAGAAAGACACAATTTGTCACGTGTCATTTGCCAACGATCTGCACTGTGGCTTGTTGGTACCGTGGATCCCAGGATCTCCTGGAGTCCAAAGGAACAGCGAGGAAATGGTCAGGCTCAACTCCGGGGGGAAGCCACGGATGGGCCTGACCTTTTCGGCATGTCAAGCAAAGGTTAGAAATCTCCACTGGCCTTAAAGCAAATGCACTTGTTTGCCATAATGGAGGAGGCCATTGCCTTTTTTCAGCTAGAGACCAGGTCTGCTCCCGAGAGAGTTCCATCTGATGGAATTCTTTCTGCGCACACACACACACGTATAGAGTACTGTCTCTATTGCCGCCGGCTTTGCCGTATAATTAAGTTCAAGTTGGTGTCAGGCTTTCTTGTATCAAACAAACCAAACTCCAACATGTTTTATTACAATAAATGACATGAAGTATTTTCGGCCATAAAATGCTCCGCATCATCTTCTTTATTGTGATCATCCTTGTTTCCATTTTCATGCTATTTGCTTTTCGGAAAGAGATGAACAGGGAGTCAAACAGTCAACAGCATGATGAGACTGCGCACCATGTGAGAAATAGATCCGTGATCAACCACCTAAGACCCCAGCAAGGAAATCACCCATCCCTTATCCTCTTACGAGATAGACTGTAGAACTCTCATAAATATTGGCAAGACACTCTTGTCTGGGGCCTATAGACATATTGTACATCATATAACACATATGGCCGCTCGTAATTCACACATTTATATTCATATACGTGATTTTGTATTTAAAATATGACTCGTAAAGCATGATATATGGAAATTGACAGATCATATGTGATTCCTGAATTAAATATCATATAGATCACATGTTTTATGTCCTTTTCTCTCCTTGCCTGAGAAAGGAGCCTTGACCATGCAGGTAATTTACAGTGTTATGGAATGAGTGCAAAACATGCTGTAAATAAATAAGAGTCGACCCATTTCATTTTAGGATGGGGGGGGGGGGGGTTGTAGGTTAGCCAGCCCCCCTGTATACCCCACCCCACTGCCCCTTTGAAAGCGTGACGTCCCATTGATGGGTGC